CCCCAAAACCCCAAAACCCCAAAACCCCGCACTGAGAATAAGTTGAAGGTTTAAATCGCAAATTAATTTTATGTTATATATAATAAAATTATTCTTGGAGATTATAGGTCTAAAGTTGCAAATTATAGCTGAATGGATTATGTATATTACCTCAGCATGCATGGGCTATTTGCTCTCTAATTTCATCATCAGCATCCTCATCTCTTGAAAGAGAATCCTGATAGCTAATTTATTGGCAGGAGCTATAGTTATCAAATCTTCCTCCTCCACCAATACTATTACTAAACTCATAGCTTTGTTTCCCCAACTGACTGCTTTGACTCTAGTTTTGATTCAATTGGGTTGCATATTTATTGTAGAAATTCTCAATGTATTTCAAGGATTCTTGATAGTATTATGGATTAGCCATTTGATTCATTTGGTTTTGATCTATTGGTTATTATTGCTCTTCATCAGAACTGCTTTCATATTCTGGGAATCCCTCAAAGCTCAGGGGTGGAACAAAACTTGGTCTTTTTCTTAATAGAGCAGGACCAATGACTAATCTCTCAAAAGAGTCATCAGATCTAAAACTAAACATATTCTTTGTATCATCGTCAAGCTCAGCATGCATTTATTCCTCTAAATCAGGATTATTATCCAGGAATTCTTAAAATCTCAGTGTTGGAATACACTTTACCTCCTATTCAAAGATCTAATTAACTGGATACCCCTTGTTTTAAAGTAGGTATACGAGGTACATAATCTTTTTCTCCCTAAGTTTAAAGTAAGACACCTCATTATGCAATTATTGGCACATTTAATTTAGTTCCATATTCTGATTCACTAGTGCATTCAAATCTGCTAGCAATTATTTCCTTGAACCTTTATTTTTCGCATTATTTGAACCTAGAAGGTTTTATGTGTTTGATTTATTTTGATTATGATTTTGAGAAACAACGCCCTATCTACTAGAGTTTGATAGTTATAAACTTTTAAAAGTATCACTAATTGAAGCAGACTTGTTGATATTTACATGACTGACTTTAAAAGATTCGTATTGTCCATTGAGTCTTTCGTTTTCAACCAGCATTTATTCTAATGCTTTCTTTTTATCTTCAAGTTCCTCTTTAATACTGTTAAATGATTTTTAAAGTTCATCATATTTAGCTTTTTAGTTTTTAATATCTAATTCCTAGGTATTTATCTTAGCTAATAGCTCTTCATAACTTGGCTTTGAGACTGGGGAGGCCTAAGATGACATTTAGCTCTTGGCTATATATTCATCATAAGCCTATTTAATTTTCATGAGTAAACTACCAAAGTTCTTGTCTCTTTTGATAATTTCGTTGAATGTTTAAGTGAAGGCCTGCATTTTTTTCCCTTCATTGTCAGAAGCCTCTAACAATCTATTTGTTAATTGTTTTTCTAGATATATAGCATCAGCTGTAAAAAATCCTTAATACTCTGGCTTATTTTCCGCAGATTCATTTGATTACGAGTTATTACAAGCGCTCTTAGCCCTACTCATATTTGGCTAAGTAGAGCTTGACGAAAAAGCCATAACTTGATTGCGGTCAATATTATTTTGTGGTGGAACTACTGTATTACCGCTACCATTATTGTTATTGTAAGATGTATTAAAGCTATTGTTGAATGATAGATTGAAGTTGGTTTAAATCTCTTACTTTTGAGGATGGGTAGTGTTTGCTTAAGGCTTCATAAGAATTTATTTTATTTTAGCATCAGCTGATTATGAGTTTTTCAAAGACTTGCCAGGTCCTTTATTTTAGTTTAATTCAAGCTCAATTGTAGCTAGTCTCTCATCAGCCATTTTAAGTAAGGCTTCAGCAGTTGAACCATTGGCAAAGCTTGGTTACTCTTGTTAATCCCCAAAGAAATTCTTTTTATGCAAGGGAGGCTTAGGTAGGCAGCTTTAAGAATTATTTTGATTAGATTTCTTGTTTGGAAATTTAATATTTTTAATTGGAATAACTTTTTTAATAGAATCTTTTGAATTGCTCCTCTCCTTTAGATTGCTTATTTGATTAGCTGGGTGAAAATTGAAACCACCAGTCATATTCATTTTATCCTTGTTCTTATTGACTTGTATATTAACATTTCCAGGTGATAGACTACTAGATGGTCTTATTTTTTTCTTGAGTTTTATTTTATTAACTTTAGCCTTATCATTTAGAATCTACTCATTTTTCTGAGCAAACTTTGATTGATACTTTGGTGAGTCACTGAAAGTGTTAGAATTATTCAAAGGAGCACTGTGATTAGTTTTGCCACTATTTTAACTGAATAGAGAAACCACTGATTTACCGCAATTAGTCATATACGATGGGGAATTAAGAGCTTTATCCTTTGATCTACTCTTGGAACCTTTTTTAATTTAGAATTATCTTTTGCTGTTCAATTTCCTGACTTCCTCAATCTTTTCAAGCGAGGATGAAGTGTTTCCTTGAAAGGATTATTTATTTTAGGGTTGATTCATACTATCGTTATTAAATCCCACTTGTTTAGTGAAGTTAATTGTTTTATTGAAGTCTGATCTTTTCACTTACTCAGGAGAAGTCTTGAATATTGGATTTTCATTTATATTAATCATTTGATGACCCCCGACATGGATAAATCCATTTTAGTTGACAAGAGATGATTAAAAGCTAGAATTTGTACTTTGAGCATTTACTGGAACAGGTGACTATCCGAATTTCAATTAGCTCACAGGTTTCATAGGAGTGATGCTTCTTGAATTTTGAAGTGACTGTGTTTGCACCTTAGAATTTAAGTCCCTTAAATTAATGCTATTACTATTATTGAGGAGAGAGTTTTGGTATTCATCAATCACTGATCTTTACTAGCTGTGACTTTAATATAGAGAATTAATAGGGTTTGATATTGATTGAGCTGAACTATTAAGGAAAACAGGTTATTTGAAATTTCCCGAAGGTATAGTATTCACCGTTGTCGATTGATTACTGTTAAATGATTATTGTGGTCCTTTTTTCTTCACGACGACTATTTTAGTATTATTACCTAGCTTTGTAAGGTGAACTAATTTTGATTCCATGTAGGGAGCTAGCTTTTAGTCAAAATGAGGATCTATTAAATTAGGATTAATAAGATTACCTCTCTATTATGGTTCTTTCCCTTAAAGCATATTTGATTCTTATTTAAGATAAATTATTACTGCTCTATTATAATTCTTCAATCTTAGAAAATATTTCGATATGGGGTTTTGGGGTTTTGGGG